AGGATACCTGCCAGGTGGCTCTCTTCTTGGTTTGCCATTTTCAGTGTACTTTTCCGTGTATAAGATGCCCCCATGTATAAGATGCCCCCCACTTTTCTAAACCCAAATTAAGAAATCTAAGTTGGGATTTAGCAAGTGTAGGGGAAAGAGATCAAAGCGCTGCAGGATCACTTTGATCCCTGCTTTCTCCCTTTGTGCTAAGCCCCACAGGGCTTAGCAAAAGGGGGGAGAAAGGGATCAAAGCAATCTCACAACTGCACAATCATTTTGATCCCTTTCCCCCTTATACAGCCACGGGATTGCTTTGATTCTTTCCCCCTCCTTTTGTTAAGCCCCATGGGACTTAGCAAGCAGAGGGGAAAGCAGGGATCAAAACAATCGCGCATTGCTTTGATCCCTGCTTTCCTTTTGTTGAGGCTTAGCAAGTGGAGGGGAAAGCAGGGATCAGAGCCCTGCAGGACCAATTTGATCCCTGCTTTCCCCTCCACTTGCTTTTGTATTCTCCTCAGCTTATGTCCGTATATAAGACCACCCTCAATTTTAGTCTAAATTTTTTAGACTAAAGGATAGTCTTATACATGGAAAAATACAGTAAAATGTTAGGTCAGGGCTGAATGAATGTTCCTTTCACTTTCCTCAGTCCCTTGACATATACCCTCAGAAGAACGCCTTACCCAGTTCAGTAGCTCTTGTTTCCTCATAAGCAGATACAAGATTACAGACTCAAAGGAAATGATCCTGAAAATAACTCATGTTGAAACCTAAACTTATGGTAGCAAAAAGCCTGAAACATGGCAACTCTCAGAAGGGCCACTGAAGCCATGTGTGGTTTGATCAATATGCCTCAGAACCTCTTGCATTGCAACCTAGGGTGCTGTGGTCCAATTGCGTCAAATTGTACTTAGCCATGATATCCTATTTGCATTCTGAGATATTGTAGTGGACTGCCAAGTGCACTCTGGTGGTAGCATGGAAATGTGGCAGCTCCAGAGTAAGAAATATTTACCTTAACTATAAGGTGGTCTATTTATTTATAAGATCTAGATGGCTTATATGGATCCTCTCCTCCTCCACACACCCCCCCCAAATTTCAGGGAGGTTATTTGGTAGCTCACATGTATGTTGTCTTGGGAATGGAGGCATCTGAGAGAAAATTAGACAACCACCTGTCAGATCTGCTTTGATTTGGCTTCCTGCATCATAATGGGTTATAGGCCCCTTCCAATTAATTATTCTGTGAGTCTATGATATAGTTGCCACATGTCCTCCAAAATGTTCAGCTGTTATCAATATGCACAGTCATAGCCATTTCTTTGGAACATATTCTTTGCAAGAATGATTTTAAAGCTCTCGAGGAGGCACAAGGTCCAGAGAGGAGACAGTAAGTATGTGAGCTTCTTTTTTGGAGGGCGGGGGGATGGACTATACATCCCAGAATTCCAAAGCCAGTGTGGCCATTGACTCTACTGGTACTGGGATTCTGGGTGTTATTGTAGTCCAGAAACATATTCCCAATCTCTAGTTGATCACTGTGTGTGTGTGTGTGTGTGTGTGTGTGTGTGTGTGTGTGTGTGTGTGTGTGTGTGTCAGAGAGAGAGAGAGAGAGAGAGAGAGAGAGCGAGAGAGAGGCTAGTGATGAACCCAGACTGCCTGTCCCTGTTTTTATGAATATTTATTTATTGGTGGAAGATGTGGAGCCTATTCAGTCTGGTTCAAAATTTTAGCTATGGTTATGGGAAAAACCCAGGGCGTAGGAGCAAAATCCATCAAGGTTACACTGTAATAGACGTCTTAGTTTCTAATATGCCACAAAACCATGTATAATAATTTTCAGTAGTTTTATTAGTCCTGTTAGTGTCTAAAACTGTGGGAGTACATTATTCTACATACTGGGAGGAAGAGCTCTGGTGGCCAGTTTTCTTCATCCACCTCCTTCCGTGTGCCATAGTGCTGTCACAAATGCGCTGTGGTTTTTTTTTTGAAAGAAAGATAGATTAAAGTTGAAAGTGACTGCAGGCACACTTCTTGTTTTGAATAAGGTTTTTAATGAAATCTTTTTAAAAGTAGAAGGAGGAGGCTGTGACATGTGCAAAGGAAGACAATATTAATTTTACTTTAATTTTATTTAGTGCACTTTTATGCTGCCTTTTTCTCTGCCTTTCTTAAGTATCCATTTAAAAAAGGACACGAATTTAAAAATCATACATAAACAATTTAAAATATTAAAACTACATAAAAACGAATTAAGAAATACAAAAGACTTAAAAATTGCATTTAAAAGGCTATGTCGGCAAAGAACATAGGACAACTAGCCATGTTAAAATTAGATATTAAACACTAGAAGCTTGTTGGAATAAAATATACTTTAAATTGCCACCAAATATAGAGGAGAGAAGGGGCCAGCCTAGCCTCATGGTGCTCAGTATTCCACAAGGAATGGCTCAGTTTAGGTGGAGCCAGAGGCTGGGAGTTTGATTCCCACTGTACCTTCTTGACAGGGGTTGGACTCGATGATCCATAGGATCTCTTCTGGCTCTGTGGCCCTAAGATTATTATATTCAGCATAATCAAACCTGACTGCAACCATTGACAAGGACTGCTCTTGGTTCCCTGTCAAATGAATCTATAAAAGTGATGGGACTGGGGAAAAAAAGGACCTCCCTGGATGATCTTAAGACTCAAGGAGGTTTATATGGAGAGTTACAGTCTGTTCAATAGCTTGGACCCAAGCCACAAAGGGCTGTATAGGCCATAACCAGCACTTTGTTTTGGGCCTATCTACGGCTAGTAGGAAGCTATGGCAAATAGGAACCCATTCTGATAGCTATTAGTGAGGGATCATGAGATTTGCAGTCTAATAACATCTGGAGAGAGACACTTTGTTCACTCCTATTTAGGTACTGTACAGTATTTTCTTTCAGCATAAAGAACAAAACACACAGACGTTCATTGTACCTGCTACTTTCACTTTGCAACAAAAAGGAACTTCCAAGGGAAGGATCATACTGATCAGGGGACTGTCAATGTTGCTGCCATCTGGGTTAAAAAAAGGGCTCCATCATGAATGGCTAATTAGCACACAAGGAAAACATCATTTTATTAGCCTTTCCTTGTAAATAGCTACTGCAGTGGTCAGAGAAATGAACTGCAAATGTGCATTGGTTAAGCATAAGGGAGTAGTAGATGATCTTGCGTCATCCTTGCCTTGACTAAAGGATGGGGCAGGTGTAGGGAAGTACTGTTATGTAACAGAAATTAAGCAATGACTTCCAGTGCTTGCTTTTCTTTTAATTGTATTTATAAATGGCCTGTGATCGGGGTGGGGGCACCATCCTGAAATACAAGGCAGTATATTTTAGCAAAAGGGGTATAAAAGAAAGAAAAGCCCATGGAGTAAAAGAAAGAAAAGCCCATGGAGTGAGTTCATATGTCTGCTCATTACTCAGGACTTTCAGTGAAAGAGTTGTTATGGATGAAGCACTTCATTTTCACTATATGCTACAAATGGTACTTTTTGTCATTAATGGTGACTAAACAGTACTATTAAGGATAATAGTAACTAACTATAACTAATTACTTTTTCAAGTTGCTTTCCATGATCTCATTCTATAAACTGTGTCATGTATGATACATTTTTTGCAGCAAAATAAATACTGAACAAGAAATAACAGTAGAATAATGGTTGTTGTGGGTTTTTCGGGCTCTTTGGCCGTGTTCTGAAGGTTGTTCTTCCTAACGTTTCGCCAGTCTCTGTGGCCGGCATCTTCAGAGGACAGCACTAGGAAGAACAACCTTCAGAACATGGCCAAAGAGCCCAAAAAATCTCACAACAACCATTAGATCCCGGCCGTGAAAGCCTTAGCCAATACATAGCAGTAGAATACCCAGGACTGCTGCCTGAGCAACAAAGATAAAATGGTATGTGTTTGTATGTTGGCACTGCATAAAGTTTTACACAACTAGCACTGACCATATGCTTGATGAGAGACTTTCTGTTTTCTGGTGGCTTATCTTGACAGCTATATCCTTTTGAATATGTTTCTAATTCAATATATGGTTAGAGCTACCAAGACAACTTCTTTGTATTACTTCCAAATCCACTGAGTTGGCTTGCTGTCTAAGAAATTAGATTAGCCACCCTTCAGTTTCAAGAGAATATGGTAACGTGCTCTGTATCGAGGACTTGGAACAAAGTCTAGTGTGGCTGAGAAGGGCAATTCGAGAGTGACAATCCCTTCCACACTGAAGACAAATCCAATCTGTCCCCTGTTCAGCTCCTTGATTTGGCTGGTTTCGGGACTGCCTCTTTGCCTCGGCCTGATGAACAAGTGTCTCTTCAAAATGGGAGAGGCCATGATGTACCATGTTCCTCCAGGCTGAACTCTCATATGTCAAGGTTTCCCATCTGTTGGGGTCCATTCCTAAGGCCTTCAGATCCTGCTTGCAGATATCCTTGTATCGCAGCTGTGGTCTCCCTCTGCGGTGATTTCCGTGCACTAATTCTCCATACAGGAGATCTGTCTAAGAAATGGTATCCACTCTAACATGATTGAGGTGGTTGAGAATATGCTTTCGGATGTAAACATACCATCTGAGTATGAGTTAGGCCAATCTTGGTATTCTATTTAAGCACAAAAATGGCTTAAATATAACTGTGATGAATCTAGTTGTGGCTTATGTGTTTCCAATCCATGCTGCTTAAAATGAGTAAAACCATGGTTACATACAGTTAGACATCTAAGAACAACAAAGAAAGAGGCGTTATCATATGCTATACGAGATGGGTTAGGGTTGCATTGGAGGTTGAGCAGGAATATCAGCTGGAAGTTACTTTTTAGGCATTTGTTAGTTCTATTTCATGTTGGAGTTGGCAGGGGAAAAGCAAGTAATCAATGATATAAGGAGAGGAAACCATCAGCTTCAGTCCTCTTGCATATTGCTTGAAGTATGGATTTTCATGCTTACTAACCTTTCCCCCCACATCTTCCTTTTTGTTTTAGGTAATGGGCCTTTTAACTAATCATGGCGGTGTACCTCATCAGCCCCAAACTGACTACGCTTTGTCACCATTAACTGGGGGCTTAGAACCAACCACTACAGTCTCAGCTAGCTGCAGTCAAAGATTAGATCATATGAAAAGTTTAGATAGTCTGCCTACATCCCAGTCTTACTGCCCACCGACATACAGCACCACTGGTTATAGTATGGACCCTGTCACAGGATATCAGTACGGACAATATGGACAAAGTGAGTATCAGGTCATGTTGACATCTATGTAAAATCCAATTCTTGGATGCAGCTTTCAAAGATTTGGGAGCCAGACATAATCATCATCATCATTGTTGTTGTTGTCGTCATCACCATCACCATCACAATATTATCTTTGGGTTCAGGGGGAAATATTTCAATGCTTCCCCTGAAATTGTCATAGGCCCAAGGGGCAGGGTTGTTGTTTTTTTAAATAGAAATAATGGAACATCAGTTCCAGGTGTTTCAGATCAGATGGGACGGGGGAAATGGAAAACTTGTCCATGTGTCTCCTAGTGGGCATAAGGGTGTTTTGCTTCTTTGTTTCTGCCCAAACAGTTGGCATTGGGGGCTTTGAGAGCTGGAGAAGCTCTGAGAGTAAAGATTCCCCCACCCTGATCTGGCATCAGAGGGCAATACTACAAAGGCTTACATTTAAGTCACATTTGAGCACACCAGATCCATGATGGAATTTGTGCAGCAAAAAGGGTAGGGCTATAAAGATGCAGGGCAAGCTTCACACAGTATTGGTGTTCTATAGATTTTTTTTTTCTTTCCACAGTCTAATAATTTCAGTTGCTAAGACAGGCAACAATAACAGTGACCTTTGGAGATTGACTTCACATGCTCATAGGATTCTTGTACAATGCTCCCCAATCTTCTTCTGTTAATATTGTAACTTCTGGTATTAGTGTTTTATTGATATTTTATGCTTTGTAGGCTTGGGTAGAAATCTTTGTAAGGGACTGATCCAGATCAGGGTATTAGTTTTAGGAAAAATATTAGATTTTATGCTGGTTTATTTTAAACATTTCATCAGAAAATTCATTAAAAATCAGTTCTGACCTGCAGAACCCAAGTTCACACCCATCTATTGGCCAAACCAAAATAAGAACGATTACCCTCCTGGACTACACTGCCACACTATTTGTTTGTTTGTTCGTTTAAACTCATACCCCACCCATTTAGTAGACTAACCACTGCCCGGGCCACTATTTCAGCCAGCTTGGCCATTGGCCAGATTGGCCCAAGTGTACGGGGAGTTGTATTCCCAAAAAACACCATAAAAACTTTCCCATCTCTGAGCCAGACAAGTATCATTCATCCTCCATTCCATGTTTGTAGAATAGAAATTATAATAGTCTACATTGCACAGTTATAATGAGGGCACATCTAATAGCCCCTTAATCCAAACGTTGACTACCTATCCATTACCAAGCTTCTCTAGGCTCAGCACCATTCCCTAGAAAGTCATCAGTGAGAGATAGGTGAAAATATACAGGTATTTCCATTTCCCTACCATACAGCATATCCCATTGTAAAGTTAATTCTACTTTGAAGCAAGGCCTTTAGCAAATGCACAGTTTCCATGTAGAATGTGACATCGTCTCAGACCTCAAGAGATGTTAATGTTAACTTATGGACTGTCACTCAATTCCACGTGTTCTGGAGAGGAAAATTGTCTCAAGCAATACTGTTGGAAAAACCGTTTAGCAGCGCTGATTAAAGTTTAGTAGGGTCATCAGAGTTCTCAGACCATTACACCCACCCGCAAGCTGGTGAAAGGGGCATATTTTCTCTATTAAAAGTGGTGCATACATCTTTAGTAACAAAACAAGACATACATGTTTGTAGTAGAAATGCAGGAAGGTCAAGAGTGCTTCTAAATCAAATGGATTCTCTTCCTTTCATAGTAGTAGAGCTACGTTCGCTGCTAAGCTGGTAGATTGTTCCAGCAAGATTTTTGCTGCATAATTATTTTCTAAAGTGATGTCAACAACATCTTGATGTTATTAATTGTTGAGACATGAAACCTGATTGCCATTAGGTAAAACAGAGGGGTTGTCCAAAATGAAATAACCACTGGCATTCCACTATTAGAAACACATGTTTTTAATGAGGTCAGCTCAAGAATCATTATACTATATAATCCCAGATACAGAGAGTTTTGTCAAACTTGTCTAAGAATAAAAATATTAGTCCCTTTCCTTTGATACATCAGTATTAAATATGACAATGTCAACCTGTAGTTGACACTGCCCCTTGCTGTGAGGTTGTCACAGCATGACTTTAAAAGCTTCTTTTGCATTATTTTAACAGGTGCCTTTCATTATCTGAAGCCAGATATTGCATAGATGAACTGTCCACTTCAAGTGAAAACCAGTCTTGTTCCTGGTCTTGCTCCAATATTTGGAATGGAGTGATCCTCTCATCCAACTGCAGCCTAGAATGAAGTGATCATGCTAGAGATAACAGGACCGTTAAGTTCTTTTCACCAATCAATTCTTTCAGTAAGAAGTTTGGAGTAAAGCAGCTCAAAAGACAAAGACTATGACCAAGCACCCAAATAAAATGCAGCACGGTTCAGCACTGATGTGTAATTCTTTTCCTTTCCTCCTTTTACAAATGACAGTGTGTTTCAAACTGCTGAGCTGAAATATACATTCCAATTTTAGGTTGACAGAGAGCCATGAATTAATTTGGATGCCATGTTCTGTAATGTGGCAACTGACTCCTACACACTCATTTTTTTTTTACATGAAATGCCGCTTATGACTTTGCTTGGTTTGTAAAGCACGGCCAGGAGAACATTGTTTTACACACTGGAAACTGACCTCAAAAGGAAATGTTAAGGTCTGTAGGAAGCTAGACTAGATGTTTGAAGACTTCCAGAAATACAGTAAATTATTGGTTATCTTCTTGTTCTTTGTAATCATGTTGTTGATAAATGTCACATGGAAGTTCCCCCCTCCTTCCTTACAGCAAATGAGAAAGTGTAACATGAAGAAAAGTTTTGCAAGGTTGTTTGTATGTGAAATTTTCCTATTCGATGTTACCTCCTGGAAGAAAAAAGCAAAAATACAGAATACTTTTGATTTCAATGACTGCTTAACAATGTGCAATATGTCATACCTCACCAAGCTTTGGTAACATCCAAGGCATTATATATAGAATCAAAGTTATATTTTTCCAGGTACTTTTATTTTTACAGTACATAATTCACTCTTTTAATATGCTGAGGTGTCATGGTCTCTATAGGTGGCCTGCGGTTCATTAGTTCAGCAGGCGACTTTAGGGAAAGACAATACAATTTTTTAAAAAATTATGTTTACATTATTTTTTAGCAAAATACAGGACATAAATCACTCTGCCTTTGTAACTGTCATGTAACTTTAAATTATACAGTGGCATCCAATCTATGGGGAAAAAACAACAGAAACCAACGTTTACATACATTTTGTGTTGTGACATTTTCAAATGTCAATAAATTTTTGTTTTGAAATATTAGGAGGGGCAGGAAGATGGCAGGCAGTGTTATTTATTTTACTTTATTCTTGGAACAATGAATGAGGTAGGGCACAGATACATTCCTTTTAGCATTCAACCCAGTGAAAATAGTGAGTAAGTCTAGGGTAATAGTACAGAGATTAGTTCACACATTGGTCTTAAAGGGTGATGGAACAAAAGAAACAATAACTTTCTGTTACAGCCTCTACCAACAACACATGTGTTGTAAAAAAAAGTCTCATATAAAAATGCAGTAAATATTTACTATTTATAATTAATAAACAGCTATAAAAACTTGCCAAGCTTTTTGCTTTTGGTCCTGAATTGTATGAGTTGCATGATACAGCATTGAGAACTGACTTGCGCAGAAAATTATGTTTTTTGGAGTTTTTAGGGTTTCTAGAATATAGCACTCTCAATTATGATTGTGATGCTTGCTCTCCAGGAGTTACTTGCAAGGGCCTCACATGCCCATCCCTGGATCTTGAATGGCCACACCCACTATCAAAACACACATCTCTCACAAAGTGTGTGTGTGTAATTTATTAGCTGATTTTATCCCGCTATAAGGACCCAAAGTAAGTAAGTAAGTAAGTAAGTAAGTAAGTAAGTAAGTAAGTAAGTAAGTAAGTAAGTAAGTAAGTAAGTAAGTAAATAAAAAAATAAATAAATAAATATATAAAGCCCCACGTGGACAATGCAAAGAATTAATTATGAGGTACAGGAGGCCCTAGAGGTTCTGGGAGGCTAACAAAATGTGAAAAAAATGTCCACTACATCTCTTAGAGCAGTGGTCTCCAACCTTGGGCCTCCAGATGTTCTTGGACTACAACTCCCAGAAGCCTTCACCGCCACCTCTGCTGGCCAGGATTTCTGGGAGCTGAAGTCCAAGAACATCTGGAGGCCTAAGGTTGGGGACCACTGTCTTAGAGGGCAGAAGCGGAATTTCAGAGCCAATCTTTTTTCATTTTCTTAATTTACGGGGTACTGGTGGGCTCCATGAGTTATATGTTTCCCACCCTTGATTTAAAAGGTGCTTTACACAGTGGTGTTAAGTCAAGAAAAGAAGGAACAAATGAACCACCAACCGACCGACCAACTGCCTGATAGTCCTGCAGGTTATACCAACTGGCAGGGCTCTTTTGGGTTTCAGGCAGATATCCTTCTCACTCCTCCATAGTGAACACACACTCTGAAGCTAGGATCTTCTCGCTTTAGCACTGAATTTCCTTTTTTCCTTCAGTTGGTGCACTTACTGTATTGTATTCTTTTGTTTGCCTGCAGTTTAAAGAGAAGTGCCATTTTAAGAGGAAGGAGATTCTTAATACCCTCTGTTTGGATTGTTGTGTTACTAGGATTCCCAGCAACACCATACAGTGGGGTCTCTACTTAAGAACGTCCCTACTTAAGAACAATCCAACTTAAGAACAGCTCCATTTGCTAAATTTTGCTTCTACTTGAGAACAGAAATCCAAGATAAGAACAGGAAAAAAACTTTCCTGCTCTTTTTTTAACCTTAGGTCGTCTTAGGTTAAAAAAAATTCTCCCCCTAGTGGTAGAGTACGTATTAACCAGCTTTGCATTAGTTCCTATGGGAACTAATGCTTCAATGTACGAACGCACCTCTACATAACAAAAAAACAGCCAGAACGGATTAATTGGTTTTCAGTCCATTCCTATGGGAAATTTTGCTTCAACTTAAGAACGTTTCAAATTAAGAACACCATTCCAAAACGGATCAAGTTCTTAAGTAGAGGTTCCACTGTAGTTTCTATGGACGGAAAAGAGCAGATACGGATTAAATGGTTTTCAATGCATTCCTATGGGAAATGCAGATTCAACATAAGAACTTTTCAACTTGAGAACCACCTTCCAATACGGATTAAGTTCTTAAGTAGAGACCCCACTGTATTGATTTACCCCTCTCGGGGAGATATAGACAACCATGGGAAATTTGAGGATATATTTCCTCCACCAAGCTTTTATCATGGTGAAAGAATATGCTCAAAAGTCTCTATTTTCTACTTATGCCACACATTTTATGGCTGAGAAAAAGTGGTCTCTGCTTTTCCCTTTTGGTTCCTATTGAAACCTGATGTGATGTGCCCCTTGTGTGTCCCTGGATTATTTCACTAATCTAAGGCCCACACCACGTTCCTATTTATGCTGCCACCAGTTGATCTCTGTCAACATTATTTACTTCGAAAGACTGAGGTCCATACTGCATGTAACTTTTAACAAAACCAAGTTTATTGAATACAGTTCAAATCTTGGGTTTCACTGAAGTAGATTCCTAAAAGATGTCAACGCTTTCAGTTGTTTCATAATAACTAATTCCACACTTAACTCTCTCTTAACATCCTTAACTGCTTTTCAACTCCCCACTAACTATCCCTCTTCTATCTGCTTCACCCCTCCCTTTATGTTCCACTAGCTCCGCCTCCCAACAACTCTTATTGGTGCATGCTGATACACTCATACAGACTGTATGCATAGGCAGGGTGATTGCTACATTCCTTCTCACTCAGCTTTCTTTCCATCGAGGCCACAGTGGTACAGGAGGAACAGCATGTAGAAAACAACAAACACACATAATCCTTTCTCTCTCTCCCTCTTGGTAAGATGGGTTTGAATTACACAAACACAAATGACCCTGCGCAAATGTCTATAGCATAAAGCCATTGTAGGCAGGCATGGCTTATTATCAAGCCTATCAGGCAATGTCAGGACAAATCAAAATACAAGTGGGAAGACATATTTCATCTGACCTTTAAAGGCTAATTTAATCAAGTTCATGCTGATAAGGACGGAACTATGGCTTTCTTCAGGCTAATTTAATCAAGTTCATTTCATACACAAATATGAAAGAACATCTGCTGATAAGGACGGAACTATGGCTTTCTTGTCTTAGATCTGGAAGTAGCTCAGACGCTTCATTAACTATTCAGTGTCCTCAATCCTTCTTCCACTATTATGTTGACTTTTTCCTGTCTCCCCTCTTTGGATCAGAAAAAAAGAGACAATTAGTCTTCTCTCTCCACTCTGTGTGAGATGAAGGGACCAAAAGGTGTTTCTATGTACCTGTAAAGTGCAGCATATTCTTTCAATGTACTGAAAGTTCCTGGTACCCAACTTTTTGGCACTGTAGCAATCAATCTGAAATTCCTTCTGTCTTTTGCAGACAGTTCCATCTGCAAGGATCACAAAGGAACAGGTACATAAATATCAATGGTTGAAATTGATTTTAATTGGATTTTATATTATTTTCATCAGTTAATTATTCCACTTATTTTAATTTTTTGGGGGAGGAAATCATCATTGTCATCATCAACCTAGAAGTGTAGCTCTGGAAGGAACCCTATGGATCATCAAGTCTAGCCCCTGTCAAGGAGGCACAGTGGATATTTGATCTCCTAAGCTCTGGCTCAGTAGCCAGGTACCTAAACTACTGAGCTATCCAGCAATAAGATTAGAAGATTTGAGTCAGAATTTTTTAAAAAGTGACTACATCATATATATTTTTTTAAAAAAACTTGTTTCAATATAGGTTATTGAAAATAAAATTCTTAAATTCTATACTCTCATTTTTCAAAAATGTAATTACTGTTGCTCTCTTTGAAAGGAGAAGAAAGGAGAAGAATTCTAGACAAGGACTTCATTATCAGCATGATGAAATAAATATGTATTTATTGTTGAACCCATTATACAGCAATTTGGCAATTAAACAGTGTGAGCCTTTACATTCTGTCTCAGGGAAAAGCACTGTTTTGCTTGTTAATTACAAGTGTGCTTGATACTGTACTATACTGTAACCCTTGCCTTCAAGTAAATGATTTTGTTTAGGGCTCTTGCATGGAAACAGAGAGCTATGTACATGTCTCTCACTTTTATAGTGGCATCCTAGTGATGATGACAATAGATTGCATGAAAGAATATTTGAATGATGCCCCTAAATATCAAATAGGCTTTATTTAATTGAAAGCCAAGCTGTCATAACAACCAATTGACATACTCAGAGGATCCATGAAGTACAAAATGGTGATCATTTAAATTACTGAAAATCTTTTAAAAGGTTTTTCTCCTTGTTCAGAAAAGCCATGGTGCTGAGAAGAGTTTTGCAGCAGATATATGATTTAAAAAGGTCAAATGTCAATTATCCCTTCATATTTTAAAGCTCTGAGTATTGCACAAATTTCTAGGAAACAGAGTGTTAAACAAAGGATTGGAAATGTGATTTTTTTTTTCTGTTACAATTCCCAGAATACCTGGTATAGCAGTAACACTTCCAGTTGTGTTCTTACCTGCCATTAGTTGTGTGTAAATTGAACTTGCATGTCAAGAGGGAGGAGACATTTCTGAGTCTCAGATACTTCGAAGGAAAAATGGGAATGACATGGTCTTCTTTGGTTCCTAGAATCATTTGGATACTGTCAGGGCTGAAGTATGTTGAGAAGATTCAGGGAAACTGCAAGGTATGCTGTCTCCTTGGAGGATGGGTTAGGGATGTGGCATAAAAATTGCAATCATTCATGAATGCATACCCCTTTCTTCTCATCCATATGGGAACAAATGACACAGCCAAGAGGGATTACAAAGAAGATGTACCCCAGGCTTTGAAGCTCTGGGAAGGAAATTCAAGGACTGTGGGACTCAGATAGTCTTCATGTCCATCCTACCAGAAC